TGTGTACACACATGGATAAATATGTCAATCTCAGTTTATTTCCTTTTCTCATTTTTTTATTCAGTCTTACATTTAGCTCTGCACATTTTCCACTGCAAATTGTTTTTTTAAATCATCATGAAAATCAATTAGCATTTCAGTGCAAATTTATGCCAATATACAAAATTTGGCATGCAGTTTTGATTAATACAAACATTTTGCAAGCAATTTTCAGTAATGCAGTGCAAATTTGTATGCTGTTTTTCCTAGTGCATTTTTGTGGCACAGTGATTAGGCCTGGATCCCAATGGACTGACTCAGCCTTCCCTTTCCTCTGAAGACCTCATCTGGGACTTTCTTCTGGCTGCCACTGATAGGGCTCCCCCCAGTGAAACTGCTGGCGACTGCTGGTAGGCCTGCTTAGGCAGGAGAGTTTAGCAGATGGGGTGGTGTTGAATTGCTTTGTAAAGTATTATTCTCATAATGCCCTGGAAGTGATTTTTCCATCCCTACCCTTGAAGAACTCTGACTCTGCCTTATGAGTCTGAGTTATGTGACATTGGTGTATAATTCATAATGGTTTTGCATACATACAAATAGAGGAACTCTTTAAAAAGTGTCCTCATAGTGAGCTAGGTACCGGTAATTACTGGAAGAACAATGGCCTTGAGTCCCAGGAAGTTTACAAAGTACAAAGGATGAGCTTATGTGAGAAAAGCAGAATCTGAGTCTCATCATGTCGGTGCTTCTCAACAATAGATGTAGCAATGTTCTGTTTCAGTTAATGTGTAGAGGTCTTTGGGAGGCTCTTTAGCAACAAAAGGAGAACAAGTCTAATGCATGTCATTTCTGTAATCAGAAACAATGACTGCTGAAATAGAATATAATGTGTTAATAACTGCTTTCCCTAGTTTTTCCAGCTTTTTCAGCTCAAGAAATTTGAAACCTGCCAAACACAATAATACAGAAAACAGAAGCCACGCTTTCCTGCAGTAAAGTAGCCAGCTTGATGGGAGGGCTCTATTCTAGGGTGCTTTTGCCTTTTGTATCAGGGATGGGGAATCTCATGCCGAGGGATGGATCAAATGCAGACCACCACCAAACTTTTCTAATTCCCTCCCCCAAACCACACTCCTCACTGACCATGTTTTGCAATGTAAGTGTTTTTGCCTGGTCAAAATATGTCATTAAAGTCTAATGATGTCTCTTGCTTGTCTGGATGAAGGATACGGGGTGGGGGCTTGTGAATTTGTGTAGAAACTAGCCATTCTGAAAGCAAACTAGCCTTTCTGAAACTACTTTCTGAATGCAAAGTTTACATTTCCTGCTCCACCCACCATGGGCACGTGGTCCTCAGGAGGATTGATCAGAAGAGGATGCAGTCCTTAGGCTGAAAAAAGTTCCTTAACCCTGTTACCACAGCCTTTTTTACTGCAACAAGGGTAAAAATTGGATCCAGCAGCTGTGTGCCAAATCCTTGGAGGCCACTTTGACAGATGGACAGGCCCCAAGAACCTGCCAATCACCTGAAATCACTATGATGCTAAATGACTTTGCAGCCATGCTACCAAGGAAAACCAAGCTAAGTGAAACCTGATGTGTTACCAACCATCAGGTAATGAGTAGTCACTACAAGCCCTACTTTCTTCATGGGTCAGCTCCACTGTCCAGTTCCCCATGGGAAGCTCAGTAGTGCAGCGAATCCAAATGAACTTGAATTCACTGCATGTCAGCTGACATGCAGTGAATACAAACTCCACTTTGGGCAAGGATTGGCTGTAGTATCGAGGATCCCAGTGGGCTTGTTCTATCAGCAGAGTTACAGTGACAGCAAACCAGCGAACAATCAGGAACACACTTGAATGTTCCTGACTTTTCATTGGCAGTAGTGCGTCTCCTTCTTCCACACTTCACCTAAGGAGCAGGTGGACATATGCAGCAGGTGAACATGATTTTGGGGAAACAGCTTCATGAGCCAGACTAGGACCAGTGATGGACCTAATTAGGCCTGTAGGCAAGAGACTCCACTCCTATGGATGTGCATCCTTTCCCACCCAAGTCAACGTTACTGTCCTTTGTTCTTTGCTGTTTAGGAATAGGACGGGTCTTTCTAGGATGACGTCCAACCTACATGTGTGATATCTTCTTCAATAACCCTTTCCCTACTCTCCTGATTAGTCACTATGGCTCTCCCAATACACAGGCTTCCCCAGGGTCTCACTTTACTCTCACTTTACTCTCAGCCACTGCATGGGACCTGTCTCCATGCCAGATCTTTGTCTTATGTTGCTACCATGGTTAGTCACCCTCCCCCATCACCTCCAGGGTTTCACTGGGCCTTCAGGATGCTGGTGACACTGATCCCACACCATTTCCAGTCCAGCAATACTCACATCCATTTGGGCCAGTTCTGTGCAGAGTCACCAAAGAGCCCCTAACAAACCCCTTGAGAGAGAATCCTTACTCTAAAACCATGATGCTTCTCAGGACAGCTTATTGTTTCCACATCTCACTGCTTTCCTAGCCAGCTAAGAAGTAAACCACCTTAAGAGACAAATATGTGAATAGGTATTTTACTCCTAGACTGTCTGAAAGCTTAATACCAGTTATCAGAATTGTTTGCTCTAGAAGAGTTTTCACACAGGAATTCGCCTCTTCAGGAGTCTTTTTGAGTACTGCTAGCTGACTCAGGATGGGGAAGCAATTTGACTGAGTTTACATTTAAAGGAGAATCTTCCTAATTCACAATTTCTGACATGCTATGCAGACTGAAACACAGCCATCTTTTGTAATTTCCATGTCTCTGAATTTTTGCAATACAGTTCTTCAGCCAAGTAACGTGTACAAAGCTGCATATTTAAATTATGGAATTTCAACCATACAAGTCTGAAGGCAGGCTGGTTAAAACTGGGCAAGTTTAATCCAAGCAAGGAGCAGGTCTTAAAAGCTCTTTACACACCGGGTCCACTTGGGTTTACCCCATGCATAAAGAGCTATTAAGCTCTCCGCCTTGCAAAACTCCCAAGATGTTCAAGATTAATGGGGCTTCAAACATATATTTTTTTTCTTGAAACGATTAACACAGAAATGCGTGCTAAACTTCTGCTAGATTTCCAGAAGTGGCTTTTGCGTTGTGTGAAAGATCACATAAAATGTGAAAATTATCAGGTAAGGAAATGTTGAGGAAATTGAATGAAGTGCTGTGTGATGCAGCCATAGTTAACAAACTGATTTACAGTTCCTTATATTGCTATTACTGATGTCTAACACTCATCCTAATTGAATTATATATTTCCTCCATTATCATAGCCCAGCATCAGCCTAAGTAGATTGGATGCAGTTATATATGTAATTATGCCATTTCCCCCATTTATGGAGAAGATGGTGAACTGCCACATCTCTCCTCCCCTGGGAGACGAGGTGGAAATGCCTTAGCAGAGAACGTTTACAGCCCAAGGATGAATTTCCCAGTGGGGTGGGGTGGTGACAAGCTGTTTAATCCTACTCTATCCCACACTCTCACGTCTTATTTCTTTGGCAATTGGGGAGAGTGCAACAAGTGTCCACCTATTTTAGGCCAAAGCTGAAGCCTTCCCTGGGTAACCAACATTTGTACTGTTACAGCATAGCTAGTGAGGTGGGTGGCAGCACTTTTAAGTGATTTCACTGCCTGGAGAGTTGAGGCTTGGGCATTTGGGAGCCAGAAAAGTTCACCTGTGGGGCTTTCCCCTTCTCCTGGCTGCCCATTATTCTCTGTAGGAGTGTGGAGTGTCCTGGGGTCAGGTGGGGGGCTCACCCTTGTTTCCTTTAATTTAATTCCTGTTTTCACTGGTCCCTCCTGAGCCACACACAAGGGGTTTTTCTTTGGGGATTTGTGTCCCCCCCCTCTTTCCTGTTTGTCTATAATCACTGCAGAAGGTGGCTACATTTGCCATTCAGATGGGCACCCCCTTGCCTTTTCTAGCTGCTGTGGGGGTGTCACTTTGCTCTGTAAGGGGGCACACCTGGCACAAACACCTCATAATGGGTTCTCCCCCTATATATTTGTGGGGTACAAGATTCTGCCCGTCTGGTGTCTTTCTAAGGTAGAGTCTTTCCAAGTGCACAGAGATTAATATTCAAGAAAGGGGAGTTGTGTATGAAGGAACAGAATTAATTATTGTTTAATATGAGTCTGGGTTGGGGGGGTGTTAGTTTGTTCATGGAGGGGTCTGCGCTGTGAATCTTTTTCAAGGGTAGATTGGATGGAGTTATATATGTAACTAATGCATTTACAATGAGTGTGGTTCTTTGTTGGCCCTCTATCAATACCAATATTTCCGGTGTGTATAAAATCTCTTTTGACACATCTTCTAAGCCTATTGCTTTTTCTTCACACTGATTTCAGCTGACTGCTTAAGTCAAATCACAGCTAGATAACACACCAGGAGATTGTGAATTCCCTGCTTCTTTCAATAGGAAACTTGCAAATTTGCTTTCCAACCCCTAAGGAATCGTAATAGTTGTTTGTCTTGTCAGGCCTCACATTCCCTTCTGTGGGGCCCTTATGATTACCATACACTATGTTGGGGGAAAGGATACTCAGACTAGCCACTGGACAGTTATATCAGAGCAAAGTAAATTTATCTTTAGTGACCCTATTTTGGTCATTCATTGTGACTGCATCTATATTCAGTGTTTCAGTTTCTGGTATAGCTATGCATATGTTTCAAATGTAAGCACAGGACACTTGGAGAGCTCCTTTTCTCTGCTGGTTGAAAGGCTTGTTTGAGAAAGTAACCTATTGCTGTGAAGCCTGCCCTCAGTTTTTAAAAATGCACACACATATCCCACAGTGACATCTCTATCCATAAAGAAAGAGTTAAATTATTAAGTGACACTCCAGCTAGGTCATTTCTCTTTCCAGCAACCACAACATTTGACAGTATACAAAGGGTTCCTTTCAGTTTTCAGCTTCAAAGTAAAAAATGCTCCCAGTCGTTCATTTACAAACAACAACACAAGCCTACCATGTAGTAGTTGGGGGGCTTCAAAGTTCTGTTTTATTATATGCAGGAGAGGACTGGACAGATCTTCACCTGCGTTGCTCTTCCTTGGAAGGGAATGGTTGAGGTATGCATAGCATTGGGTGGGTGGACTCAGCTCCCCTGACCACCAGTTGCTCATCTCACTAGGATGACCAGATACAAAGGAAGAGAAGGTTTCTGTACATTTAATAATTGGGCAGTAGATGGGATTTTGGCATTTGGAGCTTATGATATGAGAATTCAACTACACAGTGGTCATGTTTGGGCACATAGGAATCTGCTATGCACCAATGAGACCAAAGTTCCATCAAGTTCAATATGCAAGGCAGCACTGAATAGTTTCAGGTGGTTATCTTTTCCAATCCTACCTGGGAGATAGCAGGGATCTTCCAGGACTCTTGGGACCTTCTTCATGAAAATTATGTCTTCTAACACTGTGCTATGGCCATTCATTTTTCAAAAACCTCTTTCTACATTTTAATTTAATACTTATTGGTATATATCTAACTGACAATATAGGCAACTCCTCATTTGCACACATTTAGCACAAATGTGACTGCTGACACACACACCATTTTTGGCCCTAGAAGTGGGTGGAACGGGGTGGAGCAGAATGGGGCAGGCTTATGAATTCCCCACCAACACAGTGCCTTGGAATTCAACCCCTGCACAAGCGGGGAGTTGCCTGTATAACCAACATAATGTTGTTGTTGTTGTTTAGTCATTTAGTCGTGTCCGACTCTTCATGACCCCATGGACCAGAGCACGCCAGTCACTTCTGCCTCCCGCAGTTTGGTCAAACTCATGCTGGCAGCTTCACGAACACATAATAGCTATTCACTAAACTAAGCTTTCCCATTCTGGTGCCCTCCAGATATTCAACTCCCATCATCGCTGACCATTGCCCACATTGCCTGGGGCAGAAGGCAGCTGGTGCTCAACAACACTTGAAGAGCATCAGTTTGGGGAAGGCTGTTCCAAAATGTCCATTGCCATCTCTTTAAAAAACAAAAAACAAAATCCCCATACCTTGTCTTAGTAATTGGATTTATACCTGTAGACCAAAGAAACATGCACTGCTCACAACTTGGTATCCAAAAACATATGGGCATTTCTGTAAGAGACTCCAAGAAATTGGAGGGATGTGTCTAGGTCTTTGCTCTTAACTGCACCTCACAGACAGAGCTGACACACAACCTGCCCCAATGAAAAGGAGATCACAGCAGGTGTGTTTCCTCTGTGCCCCAGAGGCATTTTGTATGTCTCAAACACAGTGCCTCGGGGATCGCCTGCTGAGATAGATCGCCAGCAAAATGCCCCCAATTCAGCTTTCAAAACCCGGAATTGTCCTTTTTTAAATAGATGTGTTCTTTCTTATTTTACAATGTGTTTCCTCATTCAATTTTATTCCATTCTCTAGCTTCTGAAAAAAGAAAAAGAAAAGTCATCCAGGGAGCTAACTGACACTACTAAGCCATAGCCAGAAGCCTAATAAGTCATGAACCAGAAGGCTTATCTTTCTTCCTTTCAAGTAAATGGGAACATTTTACTGCCCTCTGTGAAAGTGGGGGGGGGGAGCTAAAAAACACAATTTTTATTATTGCCTGTGCATAATTTGGTCTCCATTTTATATGCAGATTGACAGAATATTAGGAATTCTCTGCATAAAATCTGAAGAAAAGCAGGCAGCACTGCTTTTTAGGAGATTTGTTTAATTCTACCCAGAAAGTCTGGGTCAAAGAAATTGACAGATATAAGAAGCAATGAATGGCATTCACATTTAAGAAAAGTTATGTGTATAGAACAGCAGTGCTACTTTATCTTTAAAAGGTTTGTTGAGGCAGAAGTCCTATGGACAATTTCTTATCACCGAATCTCCTTCCTGGGAAAGGCACCTGTTAAATTTCTGCCTGTCATTACATGCATGGTTAAACTTATAGAGGCTGACAGGAAAGAAAGATGTGAAGCCCTATTTGTATGGTGAATAGTTTTTGATTTAATTACTAATGCTATAATCAAATCTAGACACAGTTAACTATTTTTAAGTCCCACTGATGGTTGTGGGAGAATTAGACATGTACCTAACCTTGTCTTATTAACACCAGTGATGTTTTAATATGCAAACTCTGTCTGGAATATAGTATAAGAACCAAAGAACCAGATTCACACACAAACTTGAGTTTACACAACACTTCTGAGTGAAGGACCCATAAAAACATAAGAACCTGCTAGATCAGGGCAATGATCCGTGTAGTAGTGCATCCTGTTTTCATGGTGGCCAGCCCCCAAGTTGGACTCAAGCACAAGAGCACTCTTGCCTCCAGAGATTTTCAGAAGCTGGTATTCCAAAATATTATTGCTTCCAACCATGGAAGCAGAGCATAGTCATTATGGCTAGTAACGATTGATAGCCTTATCATCAGTGGTCTAATGCTCTTTAAAAGCCACCCAAGTTGGTTGCGATCAATGCCTCCTGTAGGAGGGAGTTCCATAGTTTAACTATATGCTGCATGAAGAAATACTTTTATCTTTTCTGAATTTCCAACATTTGGCTTCATTGCTTGTCTATGCAGAGCCAAATTTAGGTGAGCATATGTGGTTTGGTCACACCAGACGGTAAGCCACAGGGGACACCACAGCTATGCTATAGAATAGAAGGTGAGAGGAGGGGTGCTGAATTTTGGCATCACATAGGGCACCACTGAAATTTCAGACCCCAAAGTCCACCAATGGTCTATGAGTTCTAGTTTTACAAAAACATTTCTCTATCCACTTTCTCCATGCCATGCATATTTTTTAAAACTACTATCATGTTGTCTCTTCCTTACCATTTCTATAAACTAAAAGGTCCCAGATGTTACAACCTTTCTTCATACAACATTGATCATGGCATTTTGTGGCTTGAGATCCTTAGAGGATGATCTCCAGCACTGAAGGAAACTCAGTATGTAATCATATAAGGTCAAATGTTCTTTGTGATGTCACCCTATGTGTGGAACACCCTGCACTTACAAGTAAATCTGGCAACAATGCTGTTGCCTTTATGGTACCAGGTTAACAATTTATTTGCCCAAGCATTTTAATTTTTGTTAAGCTAATGATTAAAAAAACAACAACTTGCTCTGTTGTTTTTAGCTGCTTTGTTTCTTTTGGTTTGTCCTTCCAAATGCATTTTTGTTTGGTTTAGTTGATTGCTTTTATTTTATGTTTTGTACTCTGCCATGGTAACTATTGATGATGAAAAACAAATCACAAAAAGTTAATATTAGCACTTCAAAGATCCAGGCCCCCCCCCCTCAGTATACACCTAAATTTACTCCAGAGGGTTGGACAGATGGCCCAGGAAGACTGTAGGTGAGAAGGAAATTGACAAAATTCACCTCTATCTTTCATTCATTGATGATAGTTGTGTCAAAAGTCCTCATATCAGCACAATGGACCCTATTAGATACCTTCCCTTATCAGAAAGGTTGTGTTCTTCCTGCTTCCCATTTAAATATTTTCATCCATCTTAAATGGTGTGTGTAACATAAAACCTTCCTTTTCTGGTCTCTTCGTAGTAGCCATAGCTAGCTTTAAGCAAGAGGCACTGAATAATAAATTGAAATGGATGTGGGTTTTTGTTTTTTCTTTCTTTCTTTCTTTTTCAGTCTCAGAGATTGCACATGGAATTCCTAAAGAAAATCCTTTCAGTTGTCCATGTAATATAAAGTGATTTGCATCACTGAGAGAAATAAGATGTTCAGTTTAACGTATGAACAAACAAGATGGAAACTGTTCAGATAATGTCAATGCCCTGATGTTACCCAAGGAAAAGAAAAAAATCCAAAATTAAGGCTAAATATCTGCAGAATATTGACCTACTTATGTTTAAGTAGTTCAATGCATAATATATTTATTTTTACCCTACAGTTTGGAACCACTGGAACATTGAGTTGATTATAATTACAAACTTTATATTTCTCTGCTATCATTCCAAACTGTGTACCCACTATCACCACCTGTTTTTAATATGGCTGATGTCCTCTTTCTAGTTAAAATATTTAATATCCAAAGTGGAAAACAGACAGCCTAATGACGTCAAAACACATAGTATGTTAGACTGGTCATCTGGAGGCAGTAGACATTTGACATCAGTCTGAGTTTCTGTAATGTATATTTCTGCTGAGTGTGCACACAAATAATATATATAAGGAAAGGTAGTTTGGGGCTGTTCAATTCTTCTGCCTTCTACAAGTACAGCTAATCTTTGACTGAAATATAATTGAGGAAAACACTTTGTCTTACAAAGACTCTCCTCCTGCAAGAGAGGGGAGTGGTTGTGGTCGGGAGCCGGACTCCGCCTCCCACTCACCTGGCTGGCGCCCACGCCCACGGGCAGGCACCCAACCAGGTGCCTGCGAGGGGGCATGTTTAGCACCCTAAATTGCTGCGGCGCCAGCCTTCCGGCCTCACTTTTCGTCATCCCGTCGCGAGTCAGTCGCTAGCACCTGGAGCGCAACTGTTGCCCGAACCCTTTCCGGAGCACCTGTGGAACCTTGGAGACGCAAAGTGATTAAGGGAGTATTAGTGTCTGTCGCACCCTCCACTCTCAGATCTTACAAGAAGGCCTGGTGCGATTTCTTGGGCTTCAGGTCAGGGATATCGGGGCTTTCGCCTAGCATGCCACCCACCACTGATGACGTTCTGCAATACCTTTCCCATCTCGATGTTTTGGGATGTGCCCCCAAAACCTTAAAGATACATTCTTCTTCTTTTTTTAATCCAAAATGTATAATTTATTATTAGAATGGGAATTAAAGGATGAAGAAGTAAAAGAAGTTATGATTAAATGGGCATGTGATATAGGATATGTAATTCGGCTGGACCAATGGGAGAAATTATGGAAACATGATATTAAATTCACGGCATGTTATACAATAAGAGAAAATTTTATGAAAATGGTGTACCAATGGTACTTAACTCCGGTAAAATTGGCTAAAATTTACAAATTAAAATTGAATACCTGTTGGAGATGTAAAAAAGAAATAGGAACAATGTTTCACATGTGGTGGGAATGCCGACTTATTAAACAATTCTGGAACAAAATTTATGAAGAACTCAAAAAGATATTTAAAATATCTTTCAGTAAAAAACCGGAGGCATTCCTTTTAGGTTTAATTACAAATGATATTCCCGACAATCAAAGGAAAGTATTCCTTTATGCAACAACAGCTGCCAGGATGCTTATAGCAAAAAACTGGAAAGGGAGAAAAATTCCATCAGTGAAAGACTGGCAAATTAAATTTTGTGAATACATAAATCTGGCAAGACTCACAGCATTCATAAGGGGACAATTGGACCAGAAATTATTAAAAGAATGGGGTTGTGCTAAAGAGTATATGAAAAAACATTGTTCTGGAGTAAGTATATTGGTATGTAATGAATGATGCTTTACAGGGTTAAAGAAAAAAAATGGTGTAAAAAAGAAAGAAAGTACAAAGATGGACGTAATCTAACCAGACACAACAATATAGTAAGAGTAAATTTTTTGAGGTCTTAGAACAAAGGAAGGAAGTCAATATGTATATATGTACGTAATGATATGGATTTTTTCTGTAGATGTGTGCTTTTTCATTTTTGTTTAGTTTTGTTTTGTTTCCTTTCCTTTTTTCCCTTTTTCTTTTCTGTTTTTTTTGTATGTTCCGTTTTTTGTTGTTGGTATAGTATTATTTTGGATTCAACGTTTGTAATTTTTGTTACGATTCTGCATTGAAAATAAATAAGAAAATAAAAAAAAAAACTTTAAAGATACATGTAGCCACAATCAGCTTCTTTGCTAAAGCCACGTTTCCCTCCAATCCGTGCAGTGACTTCCTGATCCGCAGAGCTATTGAGGGTTGGGGCAGGCTACAACCCCCCAGGGCCGAGGGCCGTAAGCCAATTTCTTATGGGTTGCTCTCTCAGATACGCACAAAGCTTAGGTCAATCTGCTGGACCAAGTTTGAGGCCTGCCTCTTTTCCGCAGCATATGCTATCGCCTTTTTTGGCGCCTTGAGAGTTGGCGAAGTTGTAGTCGAGGTTAGCGCAAGCGGCTCAACGCGCGGCCTCCTTATTGCTGTTGTCCGAAACTAGCATGATGGTGCGGATACGTCAATCCAAAACTGATCAGGCCGGTAGGGGTGTTCTTGTTAAACTTACAGCTTCAGCCCAGCAGGGCCCATGCCCGGTCAAGAACACTAGATGGTACCTTTACCTCAGACCGCACGGCCCAGGTCCGCTCCTGGTTCATGAGGACGGGTCACCTCTGTTGTGACACCAATTCACAAGGGTACTCCGCAAAGCAATTGATGCCTGTGGTTTATCTTCCCAGGATTATACAGCACACACATTCAGGATTGGGGCCGCCACAACAGCTGCACGCTTGGGTCTGCCGGCGGATAAAATTAAGGAAATGGGCCGGTGGAAATCCGATGCTTATAAAGGTTACATTCGTTAAAATGCACTCTGCTCCATTACCTCTACTTACCCGTCTTTCCTTTCCTTTATTCTCAGCCGTTCTCAGGAGAAGTGTCTGGATTTGCAGCCATAGTATAGTCCATTGGGCCCTCGTACGGTCGGCTAGCTGCGGCCTCACCCCTAATCTTGGGTTGCCACCTGGAGTGCGAGTTTCCTGGTTTTCGAGATGAGGCATGCGTTGGGAAGAGCTTATGCCATTGCTGAGGGAGAAAGTCGCCATGTTTGGCCCTCCCGACATCCTTATCCTTCAATTAGGGGAAAATGACCTTGTTAACAGAAGAAGTGCGGACTTGTCGTGGAACATAAAAAGAGATTTGGATGAGATTGCTGCCTTGTGTCCCGGAACAATGGTGTTCTGGTCCTCCTTCCTGAAGAGAATTGTTTGGCGCGGTGCGCAGAACTGTACGGCCATTGAAAAATCCAGGAAACTCTTAAATAGTGCAATAGCCTGTTGGGTGCACTTTATGAATGGCCGAGTCATTTCTCACGACCATATCCGGATTGGCGATCAGGCCTTGTACTGGAATGATGGGATTCATCTTTCAGACCAAGGGAATGACATTTGGTTAAATACCAGCAGCAGCATCAGGGATTGGTTACAGCTGTGAGGCTATTGGCGGCGAGCCTCTTGGGCTCGGGTGGCGGTTAGGCATTGGAATAATGTGTTGTGGTGTGTCGAAGGGCTAGGTGTGGCCATCGCCTGCGCCTTCAATTTTTGGGTATTCCGTTAAAGGAATCCGGCGGTCGTGTACTCTGTCCGATGCCTGCGTGGCGGGAGGCCATGGCACGACCCTCGGTGACATCAGGGGAGAGCTTATAGTTGGATTAGCATCAACAGGCTCCACCTACTGGTGAATAAACCCCCCTGTTTTAGACTCACCCCTCTCTGAGGGGGTGGAGTCAGCTGACGTAATCCAATGCCTAAGCCAATACCTTTTCACTTGCTGTAATCAATAAAGTTGTGGCCTTTTCTTGCCCATTAACTTTATATCCCGTGTCCTTGTGTTTTCATTCCACTACGCGGGGATCGGGGCCTCGAACCACAAAACAGTCTTATGGATGTTTACTCAAAAGTAAGTCCCACCATGCTCAGTGGGGCATATTCCCTAATAAATATGCATAGGAAGCTGCAGCTATCCAGATGGGGTCTCCTCTCTCTTTCCCAGTAATTAATGGTGGCCCACCTGCCAGGAAGTTACCACAGTGTTTTTGCCAAACCAAGCAATTTCCTTCTGCCCATAGGTTTGCAGCCTTCACTTTCATATGTATTCAGTTCTGATTTTGTTCATGCCTTCAGATACGGTTTCCTTCTGAGTGCACCTAGATTGGCTATCACTGTGTGACATGCAGTTCCTGTCAATAACTCTTAGCAACACTGGAAAATCTAATCTATATTCCTCTTCCTCCAACTAGAGCATGGCTTCTGGTTTGGAAATGTGCAAGAATG